TATCTTAAAACAAACAAACAAACAAAACAATGGAAAAATAACCTTGGGTGAGGATTAACAAAAATAAATAAATTAAATAAATAAATAAATAAATAAATAAATAAATAAATAAAAGCATGAAATATGACATATTCTGACAAAAGGTGCAAATGAAAAGAATGGAAGGGGAAAAGAGGAAGAAAGGGAAAACTGGTACTTAAATCTTGGATTGTCCAAACTGTCCCTAGTGTCCCTACATGATTGGGCTTTGATGCTCCAAAAAGTCTCTTTCCTGACTTTGTGCCTTCTTGACCTCAATCTTTAATCCCATGCAATGATCCAAAATAGCCTGTTATGCCCTGGCCAGTTTGGCTCAGCAGTTAGAGCATTGGCCTACGGACCAAAGAGTCCTGGGTTTGATTTCGGCCAAGGGCATGTACCTTGGTTGCGGTTCGTCCCTGGCCCCGGTTGGGGTTGTGTGGTGGCAACCAATCGATGTGTCTCTCTCACATTGATGTTTCTCTCTCTCTTTTTCTCTCCCTCCCACTCTGTCTGAAGATAAATGTAAAAATATCCTCGGGTGAGGATTAAAAAAAACAAATAGCCTGTTACTTTGCACTCCTGGATGGATCTCATGTAGCACCAAGCCCTCCAGAGATCTCCCCCTGGAGCCTTCTCTCCCACTGTTTGGAGAGCAGAGGGACCTATGGATCATGAAAGGACAAGTAGAGATGAGATGGAGGAACAAAGAAGGAGATGCTTGAAAGAGAGGAGGGGATGGCAGTTCCTCTTAAGTAAAGAAGAAAGATCCCTGCATCCATAATTGTTGCAGTTATTTAATTAGCATAATATTAGGATGACAGCTGTGCCTGTTATAGGCTGAGGGAAGGATATGAGGTTTAAAAATGGCCAAACCTTGTTCGATCTGTATAATGCCTCCTCAGCAGACTTTCGATCACAGGAACCAGCATACCATGGCTTACAGTGAACATCAGCTTCCTGTGAAGTAGAGGGAATTGTTAAGCATGAGATGGTGCTTCAGTGACGCTGTCCCTTCTGTGCATGAAGAACAGCATCCCACTTTGCATTACCAAGGCAGGCCTAACTACATGTAGACCAGTAATTTGTCATGAGTTTATGCTTCTTTTGATCAATCACAGGGTTGTGTAATTGCCTTTTCCCCCATTTGGCCTTAGCTGCTAACCTTAGTAACTGGACATTAAGAACTAAATCCTGCTAGATTCCTGAACCATTCATTCCTTTCTCCTAAATAAGTTATAACCCCCCTTTCCACTGTGATCTCATTGTTTTTGCTTTGTGGAGTGCTTTGTAACTTCCAGAAGAGTGTTTTCACAAATGTTATCATATTTGATTCTTGTAACTACTTTGAAGGCAAGGAGGAAACATGCTGTCATCCCTATTTTACATTTGAGAAAGCCTAGAGACACTTGCCCAAGGACACAGAGAATCCTTTCTCTCTTTATAGATGGTATGCCTCCACAGATCTATTTTGAGAAAATTACATTTTTTTTATCCTTACCTGAGGACATTTTTCCTTTTTTTTTTTTTTTTTTCCAGATAGTGTGGGAGGAAGAGAGAGAGAGAAAAAAACCCCATCAACATGAAAGGGACTCATCGAGTGGCTGCCACCCACACGACCAACCAGGGCCGGGGACAAACTGCAATCGAGGTACACGCCCTTAGCGGGAACTGAACCCAGGTCTCTCTGGACTGCAGGCTGATGCTCCAACCACTGAGCCAAACCGGCCAGGGCAAAATTACATAGTGTTAACAGAAGCTATGTGAGGGAAAGAACAATAAAAAGCAACATACTTCTTTTCTAGTTTTGAAGAACCACAAATTGTTATTTAGGGCATCTAGGATACAAATTGGAACAAATGGAGAAAGGTCTTAATAACTGAAAAAAGATGTATTCTGTACCCATCAGAAAATGACAACTCACAGACCAACTTAAAATATAGTCTGTCTCAAGCTTCACTCCAACTGTCTCTTATAAGAAGATATGCCCTTTCCTGCAGTTTACTGGTAACAGTAAGAGTTCATTTCATACCTGTTCTGATACATTGGAATTAGATGAAAAGCTGGGTAATGGGCCATCCACAGTTGGGCTGCCCCCTTCTGGAAATCCTGAAAGGGATTTGAAAAAAATCAATGTATCTTCATTCTTTTTGAGCAGTTACTATGCCCATACCTCAACACTATGGTCGGTGCTGCAGGGGACACACACAATTAAAAGCCACACATACACTGAAACATCCAATGAGTCCCAAAGCATGGTCTGAGGATGCGGGGAATCCACAAGATCCTTTCAAGGGGTTTGCCATGTCTTTTCCAATTACATAGCTCTGTGAAGCCCAGTTTTCTTCATATGCTTCAACCAGAAAAACATATGGCAACAGATTGAATGTAGAGGCAGATAAGAGAATACAGTTGTCTGTTATTCCAGGCATTAGAAAGATTTAAAAACTGTAAAACAATGCCACTTCCCACTAATTGTTTTTGTTTGGAAGATATAGTTATTTTTCATAAAAATGTTATTCATGTTAACATGCAAAAAGTTTAATATTTTAATGGATTATTAAATATGTTTTAAATGTCTTTTTAAATTAATGCATTCAATATCAATAAAAATATATAAACTAATGTTTTTATGGGTCTGATTTTAAGAGTGTTAAATGGTCCCAAAGCCAAAATGTTTGAGAATTGCTGCCTTAAGGCATAAATTCAGTTTAAGAGTGAAGATACATGAAATAGAGAAAATACTTAGCTAAGTTCATTTGTTTGTTCGTTTGTTCATTCATTCATTCATTCATTCATTCATGACTATGTGCCTGCCATGAATCAAGGCATTGGGAATATACAAGTCAATGAACAAAATGTCCTGCCCTCTGGAGCTTAAATTTTAATAGAGTGAGGTAGACAATAAAGACTTAAGTAAATATATATATATATATATATATATATATATATATATATATAGTTATATTATAGAGTTATAAGAGCTATGAAAAATAAGCAGGGAAGGGGGTTGGAAATAGCCTTGTACAGTAGTATGTTTAAATACACTGGTCAGGGAAGGAAGGTCTCACTGAAGTGACACTTGGGTACGACCTGCAGATGGAGAGGGAGGAGGCATGTGCTATCCGAGGAAAGGATGTTTCAGGGAGAAGGAGCAGTGAGTGCAAGGTCTGGCATATTTGAGGACTAGAGAGGGGCACTGTGCCCAGAGAGCAGTGAGGAGAGGAGAGACAATGGGGGCTAAAGTCACACAGGAGGTAATGAAGGAACAAGATTTGTAGGACAGTGGACCCCTTGACATGACTTGAGCTTTAACAAGCAAGGTATGGGTAGCTGTTAGAGGGTTTTGAACAGAGCAGTAATGTGATCTGTCTTTTAGCAAGGTCACTCTGGCTGCAGGACTGGCAATAGAAGAGGCAAGAGCAAAGAGAGGAGGCCAGTTCAGTGCTCTGCCAGCCCAGGCAGGAGATGATGGTGGCTTGCTCGCGCTCTCCCCTGTTTCAAAAAAAAAATAGTAGGAGTGAGAGTCGTGGGATTCCAGATATATTTTGAAAAAATAGCTGGGATGTATTTGAAGAAAGCAAGTGAAGAGGTCAAAGGTGACCAGAGCAACCAGATTTGTCCTTTATTAAAGGGCAAAATCTGCAAGAGAAACGAATTTAGACACAGTCCTGGAAGTTCAAGGAGACAGCAGGGTGTTCGATGTAACGGGCGGGAACAGTGAGGGCCCAGCAAGGCTGAGCGTGAAGGAAGGGCGTGTTCTAGGCGTGTGGACAGCAGCGGAAGATGGTGGGTGGTCAGGCTCTCCCAAGATACACAGTGCAAGATGGTGGTTTCTACAGTTTTAGCAGTTGGAGGAGTTCTAGGCTGACATATTCTGAGCTATAAATATGTGCCAGTCCTGTTCTGGTGTCCACATCTTAGCTCATTTTGTCCTCACATCAGCCCTCTGTGGGAGGAGCTGCTAGACCCATGTACAGAGGAGGCCCTCCCCAACTGCCCCATTGAAACACCTGCTCTCCTCGCCGCCCTTACTCTGCGCACCATCCTCTGCTACCTCGCTTTGTTCTTCTTTACAGCACATTAGCGTTTACTTGATGTTACGTAATCTATCTAGTTTATTTTTCCTGTCTCCTCCAGTAGAATAGAAGCTCCATAACGGCAGAGACTCTGTTTCATTCACTGCTGTTAGTTCCTGTGTCTAGAACAGTACCTGGCACATGGCAGATGGTCAATAACTACTTATCAATTGAAAGAATGACTTTGAGTTGAAAACAATAAAAAGTCGAATAAAGCTTTACGCAGTGAAGTGTAAAATTCCTATAACTCAACCATATTCACTTTGTGTTCAGAATTTTAAAAGAAATTTGTATTTAGTATGTTTTATTTATTTAAGATGAATGAAAAATGAAATTAAAACCTAAAAATCTGATTTATGTATAAATACATAGATTTTTTTGCATATAACAATTATTCTCTGTATTTAAATTTATTGAATCTTGATTATTTCGGACTATTTTCCAAATTACCCATGTAAAGTAGGGTTTTTTTGTTTTTTTTTTCCTACATTAACTAGAAAGCAGTCAAGGTTCGAACACTTACGTTCTGCAAGCCTAACTTCTCTGATTTATATATTTTTAGGGTGATGTAATGTTTGCTTTGGGAAAATTATCCAGATAGTTTCCAAATCTCTTTAGGGTACCTTTTGTAGATCTATTTTATGATCATTAAAATGTATTTTAGGTCTAATTTAAATAGCTATCATTTATTGAGGACTTTCTATGAACCAAACACTATACCAGGTACTGTCTTCAAGTTGTTTTACTTAATCTTTCGAAAACAGTTGTATTAATTTTGTAAAAAATAAAATAAAATATGAGGAGTATGGCCAGTAAAATATTCAATCAATACTAAAATTGAAAAATGAAATGTATCTCAAATCTATGTACTGTCCATAACCACTCTATGGAAAATATTCCCAGCCCCATTTTGCAGATGAAACAAGCTAGAGAGGATCAAGTCCCCAGCTGGGAGTAACAGTGTTGTGTTCGAGCCCAGGTGACTCAGACAGGAAGGCCCGGCTTTAACCTGATATTACTCTTCAGGACTTCATAGTACTTACTTGGCAGAGGTACGGGTTTTTGATGGACTTGCCTGAAAGGAAGAATTTCAGATTAATTAAAGGGCAAAGCACAGATGAATAAGTTTGACTTTCTGTTTACAGTGAAGACTCGAACACACACGCATCACCAAGGAATCGAGAGGAATGGCCAGTGAACCAGATCGAAAGGTAGGAGAGGCAACAAAACCTTCAAGATAAGAAAAATTGTCCCCTTTGCTTTTGGAAAAGGAGGAGCCTTGACTAAGGTGTTACATTTTAGTTAAGTCCGGTAGTTAACCCGAATATTAGGTCTCTGAGATTCTGAGCAGTTCTTTTAAAGTTGTTACCTACTTAAAAACTGAACACGCTCACCCTGGCGGGTTTGGCTCAGCGGTTAGAGCACCGGCCCGCAGACCGAAGAGTTGCTGGTTCGATTCCCGGTCAAGGGCACGTACCTCAGTTCTATCCCCGGCCCTGGTCAGGGTCGTGCGGGAGGTAGCTGGTCGATGTATCTCTCTCACATTGATGTTTCCCTCTCTTTCTCTCCTTCCCTCCCTCCCACTCTATCTGAAAAAGTCAATGGATAAATATCCTTGGGTGAGGATTTAAAAATAAAGAAAATAAAAAAACTGAACACGCTTTGCAATTTAATAGCAAAGCAGTGAAATGTCAGATCTTCACCAAGCACAAGCCCGTGGTGTAACGTGTGGTGTAACACGCAGGCGAGCACGCCTGCGGCAGCCAGAGGGACCCTGTTTTGAAGGAAAGGCTTCTTACTTCTGGGCAGGAGGAAGCACTGGTGACTGCACAGCTTCTTGCCTGTGACTAGACCCTCGGTGGCGTTCAGCAGGTATCGGTTTTTCTGTATCAAGAACATTCTCATATTAGAATCGGAGTGAAGTGCCAGTGCCCGTGCCAAAACCCAGCAATGTCAACTGAGAAGCAACGAGACATCTGGGTTAGCTCAGATGTCTTCCTATGAACGCATCTTTCACCAGATGTTGCCTGTGCACCTGTCGCTCTGGTGATGTGTCTGTGCTCTTAGGGCCAGGACCCCCACCCCTCAGTGTTACAGGCATGCTCTACTGCCTCTGCTTTCATCTCCTGGCAAGGAACCTGGGACAGAACCCGTGGGATCTGGACCTTTAAGTGCGGGAGTGCAGGAGCCAGGGATGAGCAAATTCTAGCTACCCACCTCCTGCTTTCTATGTGGCCTTCACACAGGTGTTACTGTATCATGGGTGTCCCTTCCTTAGTCATAAGATATGACTATAAGAAACTTCTTACTGATAAGTGGTGAAATATGACATTTTGTGAATGATCTACTCTCTTTGAAAAACTAATTGAGCAAATTCAAGGGTAGCTCCATAACAATTCATCTCTCTTGCATTTCGCCGTGTTTTCCTGAGGGTGGGAGAAGATCAGGAGTTATAACTAGTACACAGGGAAATGGGAAGAACCTGAAATGTAAGAAGTTTATGTTGAAGCCCATTATGAACTTTACAGCTGAATCATTTCATGCTTTATCCTCCCTCAGATTTGGTCTAGGTTGTGTTAAAATCTGGGTATGCCCTGGTATGTCTCCTGCATGGAAAAAAGCTTGAGAATTATTGATCTTCTGTTACAGGAACCACAAGAAATAAAAGTAGTAAGAACTCAAAGATTCAAATAAATGATAAGATAGACGTCAGGGTTTTGTGCATTGCACTGACACCCAGAAGCCTGGAACATGTGAAGATCATGCTTCAGGTTTGAGCTGCCGTGGGACATGTTTTGTTCACAACCCAACGGCTTGGTAGTTTTAGAAAGAGAAACAATGAACACGTTAGGTCCTCACAGCCGATTACCTTTGACCACACCAGCTTGGCCCCATCCTGGAGGCGTCCTTCCCCAGTGAGGAGAGGCTGCCCCCCATTCGGGTTTGGATGGCCATTGCCATGCTCTTGAAATGAGTCACAAAGGAGATGGCACCAAGCTCCTGCACTGGGCTGCACAGAACATGCCATGAGCCCTTGCTGAGGACAGCAAGGTAAAAGCACCAAAGAAAAGGCAGACAGAAGTAAGACAGCAGAAAGGGAGCGATACTCAGAAATAGCCCTGGGGTGAAGAAGATGTGGGAGCTCATGTAAAAACCTATTGAGGAGTCTGGCCGGTGTGGATCAGTGGTTGAGCATCGACCCATGCACCAAGAGGTCACCGGTTCGATTCCCAGTTAGGGCTCATGCCCAGGTTGTGGGCTAGATCCCTGGTGGGGGGGGCATGCAGGAGGCGACCTATCGATGTTCTCTCTCATCGACATTTCTCTCTCTCTCTCCCTCTCACTTCCTCTCTCTCTAAAAAATCAATAAAGGTAAAAAAAAAACTATTAAAGAAATTAATGATTGGACCAATTACAGCAGGCAAGGGAATTGTAATGGACATTCAGAAAATGTCCACCATCCATCATCAGAGAAACCAGAACTCTTTATGTAGATCTGCCCCAATTAACTCAGGAAATGGTAAGAAGAACACTCCCTAAGCTTTAACATTAGGTTCTTCAAGTGTGGAATTAGGCTCGGCACAGACATTTAACTTTATATAGTATTTTAAGTGTGGAGATTATGGATGAATCCTACTTCTTTCTGTTTTCCCCCTAGGATTTTTCAAATATAAATATTTTTTAAATGGAACATTCTAATAAAAAGTATATGTAAGGTTTTAGGGTTATGATAAAACAAAGGAAGGAAAGCATTTGAAGATGTACTGAGACATTCGAACTCTGAAAACATTATTTTGAAAAATTAGCAAAAGAAATGGTTCAAATAAATAGGTTTTTAAAAGTTTTATTCCTTGCCCTGGCTGGTTTGGCTTAGCAGTTGGAACGTCAGCCTGTGGACCAGAGAGTCCCGCTAGGGGCACATACCAAAAAAAAAAGTTTTATTCCTTAACTAAACAATTAGCCTAAGATACATGAGTGGCTCTGAATTCATCTTCACGCCAATGGAAGGCCATATGCTGCTTCCGGCAAGGCATATTGTCTGCAAACAGACGGGTCTGGGGTGTGCAGACTGGAACCCACCCCAAAGACGCTGTCCAGGCAAGCCTAGGTCCTGACCGGCCTTGCTACTCGCTGCTCATGGCAATGGAAGGCCATTTTATTTAGAAAATAGAGTTGCATATTGACAATTACCTTATGAATAATGAAAGAATTTAGAAAGACACTTATAGACAAACCCTTAATTAAAATAACTGTTAGAGGACACGCTCCTCCTTTAAAATAATATAGATTTACCTTCACAAACACTTGAGGCGTTCTGTTGAGAGGCAAATGGAGTCTATTTAAGAAAAAAAAAAAGCAAAGATATTCAATACAGTGCAATGTGGAAATACAAGTCAAAGCACTATTACTAGAATGAGTATTTGGGGAGAACATTTCCTGGTGCCTAGCCACTCTTTCCCAAGAACAACGATTAAAAACGTGCAGTCGTCTCCAGGCTGACCTTGCATGAAGTGATGACTGGAGTGTCTCGTGGGAGGGGCACTGTGGTCTTGGTGCTGGGAACCTCCCTGCTCTGTCAGTAGTGCTGACGGACACCACCCCCGCCCCCAGCTGCAGGGCAGTCGCGCTTGCACCCTGGGCATCTGGAATTTGGCTTTCGTCTCAGGCCCCACCGTCTCAGGGTTTGCTGGGTGATCGGCAATGTCAGCCTCCAGAGTGGATACCAGGTCAAGGCGGGCTTCCTTGAATAGTCCAGGTTCCCTTTGTTCTGGCCAGAATCTGAGTTTAGCCAGGCCTACGTGTGCCCGACACGCAACTGTCTGGTCCGCAGCCAGAAGGTCGGGAAGTGGACACAGGGGACCCCCGAGGAAGGCGGATGTCACAGGAGGCAGAGCCTGAAGCCTCCAGGCTCTTATGAGCATGAACTCCTCCCAGGCAGCATTTTCCCAGGCTCACTGAGGAGTCCCAGTTTTTCTTGAACTGTCCAGGCAACACCTCCAGTTGCTAAGCTTGCTGTGTTCACCTTGGCTGGAAGCCCGGTCAGCTTTAGGTAAGGGGACAAGAATGAACATTGTGGCAAATGTGAAGTGCGTTTAACTGCAGCAGTAACTTACCATCTTCTGTGAAGCCGCTGGCTTTTTCCTGGGGGATAAAAAAGATCGGCTTTGTCAAAACACAAAAAGATAAAGTGCAGCCATCTGCGTATCACTTTCTTCTCAAATTTAAATGAGAGCAATGAAGGTGACCCAGTGTGTAGGAAGGCTGTCCTGGAAGGGCGGAGAGGGAGGAAGCAGGGTGGAGACGTGACCCCGTATCTCAGACAGGGTCCCCTGGCAGGTGGCAAAGGGGAAATTGGGGATAAACAGGAGGCCCAGTTGCCAGGGAGTCGGCATAACTGAGCTCTTGTTCCAGTTGTTACTAATTACTCTGTGGCCCAGGCCTCCTGTCGCTGTGAGGCCAGTCGGAGCTTTGGTTCTCTCACCTGTAAAGTGAGGACCAGAATCAGTATTTTCACTGTGTACACAGAGCCCTTCCCTCCTTCAACAGCACCGGGCTTCTGCCTGGAGATGGCGACTGGAGATGTGAGGGTGGCCATGCAGGTGAGGTCGTGGCTGGCACCTCCAGACACCGACTTCCGCCTGCCTCTAGGTGACTGTTTTCTACTAGGCTTCTGAACAGAGAAATCCAAGGCCATCACAAGTTTGAAAATCACTGTGATCTGTGGTCCTGAAGGTGCATGCCTAAGCTAACGCTCTGGTTTGTCTTACTTCCAGTGGAGACTGGAATCTAATATTGCTAAGGTTTAATGCTTCTCTTCTGTTTTCTTAAATACTGTCTGTCTGTCTCTGTCTCTGTCTCTCTTGCTTTGTTTTTGGCTGACTGCTAGGAGTATGGGGGAAGGATACCAACACTTCCTAAGTGCCTCTCGGATGCCTGGCTGGCACTGGGTTAGTCTCTTCACACGTTATTTAAACTTCACAGTAACCCTTTTAAATGGATAGTTACTACATTTTAGAGATTAGGACACGAGGCTCAAAGAGATTCAGTAACTTGCCCAAAGTGATAAAGCTGAGCCAAGCGGGAAATATGCAGAGTGGTTACTAAACACCCCTGAAATTAAGAATTCCTTTGCTTTACACAGAGGCAGAGTGCAGGCCAGCGGAGACACATTTAAATGGGCTTTTACAACTGCTGTTGAGCCGATATAAAATTGTGAGGTCACTGTACTACTTACTAGCACGGTACAACCCTCACCTGACGGTTTTCCAAGCCCTTCGAAGTTCAATAAGAAAGAATGATTCTCTCATGTCACTTTTGGGAGGAACCTTGGCCGTGTTCTCGGACTGAACACCCCCATGTCTGCTGCGCAAACTACGTGCTTGTTTAGAGATCGCTCACTCCCTGAAAGAGGAAACTAGGGGCAGAAAGTAAAGCTGAAACCTCCCAGTGGGCCTCAAAACCATTCAGGTGCTGGAGCTTCTGTCTTGTGGAAACTGTAGGTCAAAGAACTCAAGATGTAACTAAAAGTTCATGGGAGGAAAGACTACTAGTTTTCAGCACCCTGGGACGACTTGAAGCATGCCGTGGGGTGGGTAGAACAGGGCAGTAGGGTTTCATCCCACACTCTTCAGGAACACATCTTTTATAATGTGAGGTGCACTGTGTCTGAGCTCCGGCAGCTGTGCTCTGGATGGAAACAGTGGAAAAGCACCTCCTCCCCGATTCCCAGGCAGGACTCCTGTGGTCCCCGGCAGGCCCCACTCGCAGCAGCGTGAGACCGTCCCTGCCACCTCCCCCTGCTCTGCAGCGGGTACTCACCCGGCCCTGGGCAGTGGGGACGGCACAGCAGGCAAAGAAGATGACTTATAGTCCCAGGCCCCGCTGCTCCGACCTGCACAAACATAGACACAGGTCAACCTCCGAGTCCTGAATCTGGGTCTCATGGTCACAGTGAAGCTGGCCTTTTCGGCAGGCTCAGAAATACATGCACATTTTGTTACTTTCAGTTAAGCATATATAAGTAGTTACATTGAAGCTACTGGGGGACACCTGTAGGCAAAGGTGATGAAACATTTTTAAAAATGTCCATTTATTGGCCCAGAACTAGGATGTGAATTAGGAACTTCATCATAGATACAGAGAACAGACTGATGATTGTCAGAGGGAGGGGGTTTGGGGGACTGGTTGAAAAAGGTGAAGGGATTGAAAAGTATGAATTGGTAGTGGCAAAGCAGTCAAGGGGATGTAACAGCATAGGGAATATAGGCAATAATATTAACATTTCTAAGTGACCTTTTCCTTTCCCCCATGAGATAAACCCAGAGTCCCTGATTCTGTGAGCTCAGTGAGAGCCACACAAGGAGTCCCGAGGGAGGGAGCTAAGAGCTCACACTTGCACATACGTGTACACTAGAGGCGCCTAGAGACAGAGGCACAGCCCCAGAACTCCTGATACATACCTATTGCCTTCGCTCATTCATATAGTCACACAAACAGCAGTACCTACACCTGGCTTCACATTTGCAGATACTCATTCATTCCTCTCTTTGCCCACTGCTCAAACAGACAAATTAAGACAAGTGGCAAGCTACTGCCCAGATCTCATTTCTGAGATCACAGAAGGAACCTGGAGGGCCTTGTCCACTGCACCCAGTTTCCCCTCCCGCTCCCTGAAGATAGAAGCCAGACAATCGCTCTGGGGGCAGAAGATGAGAGACAGGCAGAGCTTCCCCACTGGGCTAGACAGCAGGCCTGGAGCGGGGAGGCCAGAAGCTAAGCCGGCTCCCCTGGTGGATCCCAGCTGCCTCCTCTCGGGCCCGTGCTCGCCTGCCTGGACATTATTGCTCAGTGAGACAAAGCCTGTTTATTGAATTAAATTGAACTGAATAAGTATTTTATTAAGAACCTACATTTATAAGTCCACCATTCCTATGGCCTTAAAGAGGACACTCTGTAAATGTAGGCTGGGCCTGCCCTCAGTATATATTACTTTAGTTGGCGAGATAAAGCACTTGTAAGTAAACCTTGAAGTAATGATCAGTTACCACGGATTACTGGAAAGCTGGCCTGTGAAAGGCACGTGAAGGGACTATGTTTGGGGTGTGGGAAGGGGAAGAAGTAGAGACAGGCCTCTGCCCTCTCAGACTCTCCAACAGGTGAGAACATGTACCTCCTGCCTCCTCACCTGACAGGACCACCTATTCCAAACACAGGAAGAAAAGAAGGCCTCAAAAAGTATTAAAAACCGAGGTCTTAGGGTTGTTCTCATGTCCTTTACCAGAGAGGCTGTCAGGCTTACCTTCAGAGTCTATCTGCTTTGTTTTTTAATTATTTTTTCTTTATTGACTTCAGAGAGAGAGGAAGGGAGAGGGAGAGAAACATTGATGAGAGAGAACATCGATTGGCCGCCTCCTGCATGCCCCGCACTGGGGATCGGGCCCACACCCAGGGCATGTGCCCTGACCGGGAATCGAACCGGTGACCTCTCAGTGCGTGGGCCGATGCTCAACCACTGAGCCACGCCGGCCGGGCTATCTGCTCTTTTTCTACACACACATTTTTTTTTTCAGTGACAGTTTACATTCAGTATTATTCTGTATTAGCTTCAGGTGCACAGCACAGTGACTAGACAGTCACCGGGCCCGTTTCCGTAAGTGCTCAGCTGCACCGAGTGGGTGGTGTTGCTCTCCTGAGCCGCCTTCTCCAGCAATCTGTGAAGGAATGCCCCTCCCAGGAAACGCCTACTTACACGTCACCTGACCTAGCTGGGATTTTCAAAAACATTTTGAGAAAGAGACTATATTTGGAATTGGTAACATTTCATGTGACAATAAACTGAAATGTCATCTGAGTCTGTAGTACGAGTCCCACTATGTTCCCTGAGCTACTGTACCAAATTGATTCTGTTCTTCAAAGTCTTCATACCTGCCATTGACCCTTAAAATACACTTGACTAGGTCCTGGCCTAGTAGCTCAGTTGGTTGGAGCGTCATCCCAATACTCTCAGATTGAGGGTTTGATCCCTGGCTGGGGCACATACAAGAATCAACCAGTGAATGCATAGATAAGTGGAACAACAAATCTCTCTCCCCCTGTCTAAAATTCAATCCATCAATAAAAATACATTTGGCTACGCACAGATTTTAATGAAGATTTCAGGCAAGAGGAACAAAAATCTTGTCTAAAAATTAAAGTGTAAAGAAGGTCTAAGTCTGAACTTCCTCCCAGGGGTTTTCCCTCTTTGTAAATACCGAGGGCTCGATGGGCCTGGGTTCATTATTACTGTCTAGCTTTTCTGCTACGCTTCCCTTTCCTCCATCTCTTCAAACAGTCTGCCAACATCTTCCTTCCTCTTTCTTTCTTTCTCTCTCTTTCTTTCGTTCTTCCCTCCCTCCCTCCCTCCCTCCCTCCCTCCCTCCCTCCCTCGCGCTCTCCCTTCCTTCCTTCCTTCCTTCCTTCCTTCCTTCCTTCCTTCCTTCCTTCCTTCCTTCCTTCCTTTCTTTCTTTCTTTCTTTCTTTCTTTCTTTCTTTCTTTCTTTCTTTCTTTCTTTCTTTCTTTCTGCTAATCCTCACCCAAAGATATTTTTCTATTGGTTTTTAGAGAGAGTGGGAGGGAGAGAGAGAAACATTGATGTGAGAGAGACACATCAATTGTTGCCTCCTGCACAGGACCCCAATTAGGACAGGGGATCTAACCTGCAACCCAGGTACATGCCCTTGACCAGGAATCAAACCTGCTATCCTTTGGTCTGCAGGCTGACATTCTAACCACTGAGCCAAACCAACCAGGGTCCCTTCCATTCTTATAAATAACTTCTGCGATCAGATGAGAGGGCATGGCCATTCTCCTCTGGTGGTGGGGACAGAGTTAGTAAAAAACACCTATGGTCTTGCATTCAGGAAGACAGGAATAAAAATACATTTTTATGTCTCTGCCAGGAAACTGGTTGGGTGACCTCTTACCAGCCACTGTGTCTCAGTTTCCCCCCTCTGTGAAACAGGGACACCACCACTTACCTTACCTAACTCAGTGTTACTGTGGTAAAATAATAGGGCAACTTAAAAAATGTAAAGAATTAACCAAATATAAAGTAATATTGTTGGAAAGGGATTAAAAGTATTTGAGGCTTAAAAACATCGTATTAAGCAAAAGGAACCAGATGGAAAAGACTACATGTGATATAACACCATCTACGTGAAATGTCCAGAAAAGACAAATCTATAGCAACAGAAAACAGACTGGTGGTTGCCTGGGGCTTGGGGTGGGAATAGCAATGACCACAGATGGGCATAAGGGATCTTTTAGAGATTTTCTAAAACTGGATTGCAGTGATGGCTACAAAACTCTGTAAATGAAATGATTTATAAAAATCAGTGAATTATACATGAAGAATGAGTGAAAAATTGTAACTCATAAAGGAACTCAGTAACTACGATTATTGCTGTTTTTGTTTTTTCATCTTATTATCAACCACCACAGTACCTGAGCTACAGTCTGGAACACACGGCACTCAGTTCACTCCGTACGCCCCGGCATGTGCCTCTCCGTAGCCACCGGAGAGCCCAAAGCAGAGGCAGGCGACGTGGTGTGGTACTTTGAAAGAAACACCAGCCTGAAACCTTAGCCCTTTCGTGTTATCTATCAGGGCACTGTCCAGAGCTTCTAAAGGATGACAGAGGCTTATTCAAAGACACACGCAAGTAGTCTAATTACTCAAATTATCTCACTTCCTCCCTCCTCCTGTACTTTCTCCTGTCTGTATCCAACGATCACATAATCAGGGTGTTATTTCTTGTTCAGGTTTCGTTTCTTTATCTGATGCTTTTAGTATTAAAATACAGCTCTATTAGATTAATAAAAAAATGAATGAATAATAAATCCAGTGGGCTAATGCCCTCATGATGATGCACATGATTCTTTAAACACTACAGCCAGCACTGGGGACTCAGCCACTCTCTCAACCAACTGACCATCCACAGTTCAGCATCTACTCTGAGCCAGTCCTGTCTAGGCTCTGGAAACACAGCTGAGAGCAAGACATGACACGGAGAGTCTTGTAGGAGACATAGAGGATGAAGGCGGGATCAGAGGAGTGTGGGGACTATTGGAGTGCACACCATGGAGGTGTAGCTCAAAAGGGGGTCAAGAAAGGCCTCCTGAGCAAGTAACATTTGAGTCGAATTCCTCAAGGAGCTTGCAATGTAGTTAGGGAGATTGGACCGAGACACAAAGTAAGTAGAAGACAGGGATGGGATACGTGTAAGTAGAATGAGATGGCAAAGGAATGCTCTCTCAGGGCTACAGAAACCATAGGAGACTTCCTGGAGGGGGAGACCTTGAAGGATGGATAGGATTTAATGTCATAACTGTGAGAACACAAAGACCAAAAGGCAGGATCCATGAAATCTAGAATGATTGGAGTATTGGGTGTGTTTTAGGAAGAAAAAGTCCTTGTTTGGTAAGAGCATTTTAAGATGCAAACACAAGAGATGATTAAACTGTTCTCCTAAAGGAGGGTTTAGGGCTTCATTTATCTATTTCAATGAAAGGCTTTCTGTTCCAGTAGTAGCAGATCTTCTCCTGCGTTACGAGCCAGGAGTCTCCATTTCAGCCGGGACCAAAGCAGTCATGATGTATGGGGTTGATGTTGACATTTGTTCCCAGGAGTTCAATGAGCTGGACAAGATGGCTCTGACCATCACTTCCCAAATATAAAGAAGGCGTGGATTCCAAGGGAGAGGACAAATAAGATAAGAACTTGTTAAGATGATGAACAATTGCACGAGAAATGAATCTAGAAAAGGTAAAAAAAACAAAAACAAAAAACCAACAACTGTTCTTTCATATTTTCTTAAAGATCATGGCCCTGGAAGCAGAGTTCCGTCTCCCAATCTCTTATGTTCAGCCTTCAGCTCTGGGAGAGAGAGAGACTGACAGAGAGAGATGGATGGAGGGGAGAGGGAGGAGGGAGGAGGGAGGGCTGGGGAGGAGGCTCCTGAACCTCTCTGTGCTGTAATAGGGTGGGAGTGTGGGTACCACTCGGCTTTGTGGCCTCAGTTTTGGGGTTGCCAAACCCTACAAGAACCACTGGGAGTTCATGGTTTGGGTAGCAGTGACATGGCAAAAACTGACTTTGTAATGGCATCAAACCGGCAACATCTGGAGGCCTTCAGAGGCTTAGTCTAGTGACTGAGAAGAGAGCCTTGAGGCAAGGGTGCGGCTAGTGACCTCACAGACAGAAGGTGTGAGGTGACCAGGTAAAGAAAGCTTGCACTAGGGTGGTGACAACTACAACAGTAGAGGGAATTCGGGAAAAAGAAATAGCAACCTTTGGAAAGACCACAGGCACTCTGAGACACGTGGCCTAGAGGCTGATATGCAGAGAGCAGGAGGGATGACCACGGGGTAGGGAGGTGATGGATGCAGTGGGCGGTGGTGGGAACTCAAGGTTTTGAGAAGAAAAAGCAGGTCAAGGTTGGACACCAGAGAATTAGCAGCATAGACAAGAGAAGTGGAGCCAGAAGAATGGATGACCCTAAAAAAGTGAAGAATACTACTCTTTACTGAGCACCTACTATGTGCCAGACACCGCATTAAGAGTTTCACACTCATGAGGTCAGAATTCTCCTGGCTCAGGGCACTATCCCCATTTACAGATGAGACTCTGATGCTTACAGAGGTGAAGTGGCCCAAAGTGGTGGAGCTGGCAACTGGGATTCCAACCACGTCTGTCTGGCTCAAAACCCAAGCTCTTAACCACCAGGATTCTCTGAAAGAAGAGCTGAAGGATGCAGACATCCTCCGGGAGGGGAGGAGGAGACGCCAGCAAAGTGCCCGGAGAGGTAAGGTGGAAACTAGGGCTTGTCTGATAGAGGTCGGACGTCTCAGGGAGTGGGGAGGGTCCCTTCAACATTGGTGCCACCAGACAGTGCATGAGGATGAGGTCTGCTGTTATCACTTATTAAGAAATTTGAAAATACAAATGATCATTTCTTAATATTTGTTCTCAGTTGTTTATCTTATTTGGAATAGATTAAAAACCAAACCCCCAAATCTAATCATTTCACAATTTTAAAAAACACCAAATCACACATATACTTTACCTGAAGCTGTCATTGGAAGAGGGGCTGGCTTGGAAGAGTTATTTGGCTTGGTTGATCTATTCACCGTGGGAGCTGAAACACACAAATATGTACATAATGATTATAGCTACAATCTACCAAAGAATCATCACACTTATGGGAAAATGCATTGTAGAAATGACGGGCCAGACCAGAGAATTTGCAAAGAATGTGAAACATACTTATTAAACATATACGCCATAAAAAAGGCCTTCTCAGGATAAACATCTTTAGAATGAATATATTAATGATTCAAGGAATAATCAAATTATTTTATGATAGGGATTTTGTCAAAGTGAATACCAGCTTGGAATTTCATTCGCCAAGCTGGAAGTCTAGGAGAGGAATGAGTTTTTTTTTTTTTTTAAATTAGGAGAAGTATATTGAACCTAATAGTGGAGGGGCCAAATTTACAGCCCCTTTTCTCCCTGCTATTTTGTGTCCCATTTCTTTTGTATTTTGCAGGGTTTGTTTGGGAGGGGAAGTTTAACGTGCAGTTATTTTCATGGTGATGGGTGCCTCAGGAATTCAGCTGGGTCTTGAAGCCGTTGGTGATATTTAGGGAATGAGGAGAGGGTTGCGACATAATGGCTGAGTAAAAACTGAGCACTGCTGCTTAGAGTCGAGTTTATTAGATGAGTAATGTTACTAGAAGAGGTGTCACTTACAAGGATTATATTCTTCATAGCGGCTATATCTCGGGTAAACAAGCACTGTTCCATGGAGGGTAGGTGGCACTAGCTTTTTAAGATAATGTGTTTGTAATTGCATTTGTTATTCTGTGAAGCGTTTGCAAACGAAATGTTTCTGAAATAGCACTAACTCGAAAGAATCAGGACACAGTATATTTTATTCTATGAATCTTTTCAGTCCTCTGCAGAAATTGTTCCTAATGCAATATCTGTAAGGCCAACGTGGTAGTTTGCAACTTTGTGAGTATTGGGTTTTATGAGAAATTCATTCTAGGTGAGGACAGCTAATGACCAGTACCTGGGTGGATTATTTAAGATAGGAAATTAATCAGGGTAGAGGACGCAGGAGGAAGGTAAAGACTATGAAACACAGAGATGGCTCACTCAGCCCGTCAAAGCAGGCAAATGCTGTGACCACAGAGGAGAGAGGCCTGGGCACCACCATTGCTAAGCCCCGTCGTGCTTGCCACCGAATAGTCTCGTATGCCCCCACCAACTGGTAGAAATGCTCAGGAGCTTAAGACTACAAACACTTGCCTTTTTCAGATGGGAGTGAACTGCTTTCCGTGGGATGAATATAGTTTTCATCTTCATCTTCTACAGGGACCACATAATCAGCCTAAAAGAAATGCAGAAATGAATGAGAAGAATGCTGAACATCCATAGATTATTGCATGGGAAGGAGTGGTTTTAAAAAAGACTTTACTGACCTAGTCAGCCAACAATCCGCTTTCTGTCTTTAATATTTGCCCATTCTGGACATCGTGTGTAAATGGAATCACACAATATGCAGTCCTTTGTGACTTTCACTTAGCATAGTAATTTCAAGGTTCAACCATGTTGTAGTATAAATCACTACTTCATTCCCTTTTATAGCCAAATAATATTCCATTATGTGAATATACCATATTTTGTTTATTCATCAGTTGATGAAAATTTGGGTTGTTTTCGCTTTTTATTATGAATACCGTTGCTATGAACATTCATGTACAAGTTTTTGTGTAGGTGTACATTTCTCCTGGGAATATGCCTGGTGGTAGAATTGCTGGGTCACGTTGCAGTTCTGTGTTTAACAGTTTGAGGAGCTGCCAACTGTTTCCCACCAGCAATGTACGAGGACCCAAAATCTCCACATGTTCACCAATACTCGTTGTCTGTCTTTTTGCTTATAATGATCATCATGAATGTGAAGTGATATTAATTATGGTTTTGATATGCATTTCCCTGACGGTTAATGATGTTGAGCATCTTTTTGTATGCTTCATGGCCATTGTATATCTTTTTGAGAGAAAAGTCTATTCAACTCCTTTGCCCATTTTGAATTGGGGTTTTTGTCTTTTTATTATTGGGCTGTAAGAGTTCTTTAAATTGTTATAGGCGGCTTTAGCCCCGTGAGAAATTAACCGGAGTTTGACCTCCACTGGGAATTTGAAAAGTAACATTCTTCAGCTGTAAATAAGGAGAAACTGAAGAATATATGTACTACACCTGGCTAACTCTGTCACTAATTCGTGCTTGTTTAGCCCTAATTATAAAAGGGCTGAAAGTCTGCTACGGGGCTGCAGTTCTCCTCTGCGAAGGTTGGCTGCAGTCCCTGCGCAGGTAATAAAGCTCCCAATATTCAGAATTACTTTGTGTCCGAGTGAGGTTGATTCTCCTGGGTTACAACATAAATGTCCTAAATTATCTCTTATCAGATATATAATTTGCAAAAATGTTATCCCATTCCATAGATTGTCTTTTTACTTTCTTGGTGGTGTCATTTGCAGCACAAAAGTTTTTTTTGTTTTTTTGTTTTTTGGTTAATCCTCACCTGAGGATATTTTTCTATTGATTTTTAGAGATAGTGGAAGGGAAGCGGGGGAGAGAGAGAAACATGGATGTGAGAGAG